TAATGGCCAATCTTTTAACAAATTCTACAAGTTTTCTTTATATTCAGGAAGTTTTTTAATAGGGGCACTACTTCCTTCTCCAGTATGTGCAAATTGTTTTAAATTTGCTCTTTTTTTAAAATTGGTTAGCCATCCCTCTAATGCCTTAAAATCTTTGATTCCAAGATTTCTAGCAATTTCTTGAGCTTGATATGTTAAAGTAAAACCTGTAATAATCAAATTGGCTTCAAGTGTATTATTAACCCAAGTAATTAATGTTTTTTCAATTAAAGGGTACTTTGGTCTTTTCATTCTTCTGCTTTTGGCTTCAATACTATTAAGATCAAGTTTGAGCCAATAATCACTGTTTTTAAGAATTCTTGAAATTGTGCTAATACTAACATTATATTTTTTTGCAATAATTTCATTTGTAATTTCAGGATTTTTTAATTTAAGAATACAAATATTGTGTTTTTCATAACCTTTTAAAGTGTTATTTCTAAGAAACCAACAGAAATATTTCATTTTGAAAACTTATAATAAATAGAAATTTTGAAATTTTATTAATATAATAATGGTAAAGAAAGTCGGAAAATAAAGCAAATCTATATTATATTTATATAATTATTTATATATATCTATATATATATATTTATTTATATTTATATAAGTACATTTATATGTAAATATATATCTATATATATAAACATGCATATTTTCACTTTAATTAATAAGTCATGCATATTTATTTATCTATATTTAGCATATAATTAACATAATTAGTAAAATTAAAAATTTGTGTTCTAACTTAAAAAATATATTACACTTGAAAAATCAATACGAAAAATTATATTATTGGTTAGTTTCAGTTTTAAATCATATGAAATTACATTATTATTAAATTATCTTATCGTATTCTAATCAATTAATACATTTCTTTCCTACAGCAAGGAGCGATTGAGTTTTTAGTTAACCTTGATTAAAATGAAATCCAGTAGAAACAACATCTAAAAGTTAAAATTATATCAAAACAATGATTAATAAAATAATTTCTAGTAAAAATGCTTCCAATTCTTTCATATATGTAAAGTCAGAATTATTAATTAAGGCTTACCTTAAATTAATACAAAATTTAGTATCTAAATATGTAGATGATTAGGATAATTTTATGAGAAATAAGTAAACCATTAACTGAAAATATAATTTTTTAAAGTGAAAAAGTAGGTAAAAACTAATAATTACCAAGCCAATACATCCTTTATTCCAACTTTACAAGCCTTTTCCCTAATTAGAATTTTTGTGAATTGATTATATTAATGCCACAACCACCACAGTGACTCTAGCCATAGCAGTTTCGAAACCTCAAATGTGTATAATGGGAGCAGCATTCGCGAAAGTAGTAGAAGAAGAATTGACAGTTTTGATAGAGATTGTTGAAACACATCCATCTCTCAAATCATAACTATGACAACTGTGAGATTATAAAAATAAAAAAAATATATATATTTATTTAAGTTAATAAAAAAAGTACAAAAATGAAAACATATGCGTGGTGGTCATGACAATGGGAGTTATCATGGTGGTACTAGTATCAGTAAGTTATGTGGTCAAAGAAGTTGTGGTCGTGGTTGTCTTACTGCAAACAGGATTTAAAGATATTGCGAAAAAACAAGGATAATGCTTAGAAATAGGATTTTAAATGATTTCATTTTTCTTTTTTTTCTGGTGTTGTAGAATTGACTGAGATGAAGACATGGGAGAGTTAATATCATGAGAATTGGGACCTGTTTACATTTTTTGTATATATGAGTAATGAGGAAAAAATGATGTAACGATGATTTATGAATGAATAAAGACTAGTGATTACGTAAGAAATCAAAATAAAGTTATGAATTTTCGAATAGGTGATGTTTTTGTGTTTTCTTCTGCTATTGTAGGTTCTATTAAGAGAGCAAATAAACAGATTACATTATGCAAATAGACAGGTACGACTGTACATCAGTTTTACACGTAACTTTTCTTATTATAATTAGTGTTATTACTGTGCTCTCGCCTATTTTTGATCCTATTTGTTGGGTATAATTTTCAATAAATGAATAGAAAAAGTATTCTGTGAAAACACCATTTATACTAATATACTAATATCAATTAACATCATTATTAGACTTTTTATTTTATCTAATGTAATGAATACCTTCCAAACAGCTTAAGACAATCTGCCT